GAAACTCCCTCTTCCCAGTTGAACATGACTTGGATCAAGTTGGAAAAAAAATCTAACTAGGGTACAGTCTGATGTGTCATTGCTCTTTGGAGTTTCAGAGGGGATTTCAGGAGTCTAACCCAGGCCTACTCTGAGTGAATCTTGCCAGGTGCTTTCCTTTAGCTTCTGTTCTCAGTCACGTAGATACAAGAGAAGATGATTTTATACAGGTGTGCTGATGTTATGCCTTCTTTCTGTACACATGGGAGGTGACATCTCACCTCTGCTCTTTGTACTGTAAGTGAGGTCCCAGTTAGATTTATGGGACAATTGTCAGTTGCTGGAGGCTGATCGTGATGATGGGTTGGAAGTTCTCCAAGCATATAGTAGGATGATGTCTGGAATACTTTGGGGCTAAGGCTCACTCACCTGGATGCAGCCCTTGAGGATACTGAGGTTGAGAGCACTGTGTTGCAGAATGCTGATAAGATACTCAGATAATGTATGACTAGAAACTCCACGGAAAAATGGAAACAAATTGCAGGAGGCATCGTATGGTGCTTATGCTATGATAAGGAGCTTGGACTCACAATCCAAATCCTGACCTCACTACTATACTTGTGTGAACTCAACTAAGTCTACCATCTTGCTACAGTTTTCTCATCACAGGGATACCCCCAGAATTATCCTAATGGCTCCATGAGATTAGACATAATGTCTAGGATGGTGCTGGTGCCCTGGAAGCACTCTCTCTCCCATGTGCCTGCTATGGTCACTGTTACATACCCCAGAGAAAGCCTGGATTGTAGCATGTGGTTAACACAATGTGGATTCAAGACTGTAGAGATGACTCAGCAGTTAAGAGCACTTGGCAGTGTTGCAGAGGTTCAGTTCCAGTGGCACACAGACAACTGGAGGATCTCAGAGGATCTGGAGCCCTCCTCAGGCCCTATGGGCATCAGGAACAGACATGGTGCATATACACAACACAGGCAAAGCATTTACATACATAAGACAAAAATTAATACATGATTTTAAAAGCAGATTTCTGGGGCTGAACTGCCATGTGGACAAAGAGTTTCCCCAAAGTTCAAAGAATCACCCTCTCCTAGGTCTGCTCCAAAATCCATGTCAAACATGCCAAACAATCTTTTAGTCAGCTGTTCAGACATCGCCATTGCACAACTGTCAGAAAGACCTAAGTGTTTTTAAAACTACTTACGTGTATTGACAAGCAAGAAAACCACCCTGGGAAAAAAATAAATCTTAAATCTATTCATATACTGTTCTAAATCTCTTCAGTGGCATTTGTATGTTCTCCATACTGTGATGTGGGTTGGAGAAGGAAAGATAAAACAGAGACCATTTACTTAAGAATTTCATTCACAAACACAGCAAAGACAACACAATGATCATAAACACTGACTGCTCTTGCAGTGGACTCTGCTTCAGTTCCCAGCACCTGGTCGGTGGCTCACAATCATCCTTAGCTCTAGTTTCAGGTGATCTGAAGCCTACTTCTGACCTCTGAAGACACCAGGCGTGCATGCAGTGCACACATATCCATGCATGCATGCACATCCATGCAGTACACACACATCTATGCAGGTAGAACACTTATATACATAAAATAATCATTCCAGAAATTTCTTTGTTGGGGGAGGGGAAATCTTGTTCTTCCCAGATTGACCTAAAGCCATGAGGCTTGTTTATTTCCAAGAGAAGACCCTCTGGCTTTCTTCACACAGATGTAGCGAGTGGTCTGCGAGCTCTTCCTGACACTTGCTTCTCAGTACCACAGGGTGTCACTATTGGAAGCATGCCTCCCATCCAGGGATGCTGGCCTGTTCTTCATGGATTCTTTGCTTACTCATACAAATCTCAAGCCCCCTTTGCTTCTTTTTGGGAGAAAACCCTCATCCTAAACCCCAGAGTCAACTTCAGCAAATATGTTTTTCTCTCACATCCCAGACTGCATAGTTTGATGCTCACCCGTTCAAAGGGACTGTTACAATCATCTCATTCTATATCAGCCCTGGGGTTGGCTAGTGTAACACCTGTCATGGAATCAATCTCCCTCTATTCAATCCAGCTGGTTACCTCTAAATATAAAGCCGAGGCTACTTCTGTTTCTCTACATACTTTATAACCATAGCCCCTGATGAACCAGATTCAGGGTTCTCACTGGCCTCCTCCGTAGATGATTTTGAAAATATGTGTATTGTGGAACACCTAATAATGAGATGTTATTAGGTGAAGGAAGCAAGGAGAAGGGTGCCTAGGAGACCAGGAGGTTTCTGGCTTCTATGATTCAATGGATGGGGATGGGACCCATCCCTGAGAAAGGCAAATAGCAGCATCTATAACTTCAGCTTTAAATTAATTTCTAAGGATTTTTCACTGTCGACCTTGTAGTGACTTTTTCTTAGAGGTCTTTTGCATTGTCTGGTTGTTCAGGGCCTGGCAATTATCTTAGTTTCATCTCTTGTTGCTTTGAAATACCTGGACAAAACCAACTTAGGGGACAAAGGGCTTATTTTAGCACAGAGTTCTGTGTTATGGCCCATGATAGCATAGAAGTCACAGCAATGGGAGCTTGAGGGAGTTGATGAAATCATCTACAATCAGTAACTGAGAATAATAAATGTTCCTCTGCCTAGGCAATGGTGCCACCCACAGTGAACAGGTCTCCCCGCCATAATTAGCATAATCAAGATAATCCTCCTGATCTAGACAATCTTTCATTATATTCTCTTCACAGGTGTTTTTAGATTGTGCCAAGTTAAAATTAAAATTAAACAAATGTACCATCTAAGAAGTGATGTAGCAATAAAAATCAATAAAAACAAGATAAAAAAGAAGTGGATAGACCCAGCTACAAGGAGGGTATAAGACAGAGGGTGGCTGAACCCGGATGCCATCAACCATCGCTCCAGCCAAAAGCCTGATAGTACCGTGATGGCTGATCCATGAGTAGGGTCTTAAAAAGAAGGGCTTCATAAAAATAATTTATAATGCCATTTTTGTCACAGAGGGGACAGGGGTAGGTTTGGTGATATATCTGATTGGAATATGTGTCATTTACATATGTACACACAATCTATGTAATTTTTTTCCTCAAAAATTAAAAAAAGTTTTACAGAATTCATGCCTCTAATCCCAGCCCTTGGGAGATAGCAACAGGAAGATCAGGAGTTCAAGACCAGCCTTGGCTACACAGAAAGTTTGAGACTAGGCTTGATTTTTATGAGATCCTCTCTCTCACGATGAAAATATGTTTTACAGATGAGTACAGTAAAAGTCTCTTTCCCACTCCAAATTTTCCATTCAATTTTCTCCCAGCCCTTACTGGCCTTGGCTATTTCCCCCAAGTTTCTTCCTGGCCCCTCCCCCCAGTGTATTTCTATGACAATACAAGACAGGAAAACACAGATTGGCCTGACTGTTTCTCTCCTTGATTTAGGAGAGCTAAGCTGTTTGAAACATTATTCTGTACTACACTTTTTTCACTTAACCTATCACAGAGATTTCTAATCTAGATGCTTGAAGCATGTTCCAATACAAGGGAACAACAATTGCAGCATACCTGCTCTGCTGGGCACCAATAAGTGTGAGAAAGAAACATATCGGAGGCTTGCGTTGACTTTCAAAAGTAAGGTTGCATAGAACTGAAATGCAAAATAAATGTCACCCGATTTAAATCATATTTCAAGGACAAATATTTGCAAAAGAAAGGCAAGCATTTCCCCGATGGAGAAATAAATATTCCTTTATTAGCCATCCTCCCAGTATTTACTTGTGTGTGTATTGTTCCATACTTGGCTAGTTTACTATGGGGAGGATCAGCAAAGCAGATGGGTCATTTGTTCTGGTCTCTGTGCCAACAGCCCACTCACAATAACCCTTTTGCAGTAACTTACTGCCGCAGTAGCCAAAGAGGCACTCTTCTTCACATGATGACCCAGCCTTTCCCCCTACATAAATGCCTTAGGTGTCCCCATTGTGTTCAAGGTCAGGTCTAAGCCCCAGTCCTTGGTGTGAATCTAGCTGGTGTCTCACCTTCCATGGCTCCCTCTGATCTAGCCTTACTGGATGTCCCCTGTGTGTGGGGGAACAGGCAAACAATCAAAATGGAACAGTCCCGCCTGTCTAGTTGTGGGGCTTTTGCCTGGCCCTTTCAATCTGGAATGAACTTCCCCGTTCATTACCGTCACCTTTGATTGTACTCACTCACACCTTCTTGCAAGGGTCTTTCCCTCACTGCCCTTTTGCGACCATCCGACTTTCTAGCTGGTGTGAGTTAGCGCAGCCTAGTCTAATAGAACACTGAACCTCCGCGAATCAGCACTGGTTCCACTCTAAGGCTCCTCTGTTACCTGTAACAAGGAGGACACACAAACTTCTTGATACAGTCATGTGGGATGATGCATTCCTAGGCAAACTACCCGCTGAAGGATGGCCAGCAGATGGGAGTTGCCTTATCTTTGCCCCGTTGTTCTCATCTACTCCATGGACCAAATCGGCACACCTCTAAACCTCCAGTGTCCAGTATGAAGAACGTCTGCACATGATGGGTGAGTTGTTGACTAACGACCATTGCGTATTTAGTAGTGGTGGTATAGGTCGCTTGGCACTTTTAGCCTTTCAGCATGTACTTGTTGCCTCCCCTGACTTCTCCCAAGTTTAATAACCCTCTCCCCTTGGGGTCTGAAAAGAACCTTCCAGCTGCATCTCAGTCTTGGTTCTAGAGGACAGTCCCAGCGTGGGGACTGAGCATGCTCCTGGCCAGCTTGGGCTGTTTGGGGCCGGACTTCTCTGGCCCAGCGTCTTGCGCCCTCCACAGGCTGGGCGGGCTGGCAGGAGAGCCTGCAAGCAGGCGGGGTTTGGCCTCAGGGCAGCCTGGCGCGTCTAGGCTCTCCTGGCGGACAGGGGTGGGGGATAGGAGCGGCGCCTCCCAGCCAGTCGCACAGCCTACCACGGTGCGCAGAGGCTGCAGGAGCAGAGCCGAGCGGCAGGGAGGGCTCTCTAGGCCTTGAGCGCGCGCTGTGTGGTGCTTAGGTTTGGGCTTAGGTCCCGGTGGGGGAAGGAGAAGCGCAAGGGCGCTGAGGTGAGCAAAGCCCAGAGACCTAGCCAGGGCTCAAGTGCAGTCTCTCATTCTTCTCTCAGGCGGGGGAAGAATTCCCTTAACCACATTCACAACCTTGCCTCGGGCACCTTAGCTGGGGCTGCCAGGAGGCCGTGGTGGCCGGGCAGCTGTTGCACCAAGAGGGGGCAGCTGCGGAGTTCCATAACCATAGCAACCGCATCAGTACCAAGGCGGCAGTGGCGGCGGCGGCAGCGGCGGCAGCGGCGGCGAGGACAGCATCCGTTTGCTCCTCCTCCAGGCAGCCTCACAGTGGAGACCTGAGACACAGCTCGCAGGTGCCGTGGACTTCTTGGTCGGCCCACGGTCGCTGCCAGTGTTGGCTGCTGGAGAAGGTGAGAAGAAGAGAGCGGGACCAGAGCTGGAACTGGGCCCTAGGAGGTGAGAGAGAGAGAGAGAGCGAACCCTGCAGTGGGAGACAGGTAGGTGAGAACGCTCTGGGGTCACCAGCTGTAAAACTCTCTTCTTTGTGGCAGTGACGTTTTGGGAAGCGTGGATGCTAGTTGGATGGCTTTCTATTACTAAGTGAGGATTCTGCCGCGAAATGTGTTTTTATCTTTCTCTATTTTCTCCCAGATCTCTCTGTCCTCTGTTCTTGCCCCACATGTGGGCAAGTCTTGAGAGGACAAGAAAGAACACTGATGTGACTGGGTGAATGAGGTGGTTCCCCAGGGGCTCATTTAGACCTGCCTGTTCAGGTCCTCTGAGCCACTGAGGAGCAAGCTCAAAAGACCTTGTTGAGATGGAGGGGGTAACGGTCTCTGTTCTGTGTGGGGCAGCTGACCCAGAGACCTTCTCTTTTGGGGGTGGGATGCAGTGTAGTTCAGTTGTGGTACAGAAAGGGACCATAACACACAACAGCTCTTCATAGGTAAAATCAGCTTTAAACACAACCACTGCAGGACATATTTAGACAGGGTAGTAGTAACTCTTAAGATGTGAGGACCAAGGAGTACCCCTAGAGTTTACTGTGCTGTAGATAAGATGCTTTGATTGTAGAGGGGGGAATCTGATAATAAAAGAAATAAGATTTTTCAACCAGCGTTAGGAAGAGACTCTCTTCCCATCCTCCTCATCTACTTTCCCCCTCCCTCCCTGATGCCAGCAAAACAAAAACTGGATGGTGTTCAGAGACAACCTTCAAGCCCTTGGCCACTGACAAACCATCCCACTTTCAGACAGCTAGAGAAGAGAACCCCACTTCAGTCCCTCATATAAACTAGGGGACAATGTTTTCCACTAGGTTCCAATGCTCTTAATGTTAAGTTTATTTTAAACCCTGGATTCACTTGGTATCTACACTGTATTATGGACTGTTAACTGCGTCTTTGGGCCAGGGAGAGGGCTGGAGCTTTTTGGCACATGATTTCACCCAGTTCAGTTGGGAGAAGAACCCCAAAAGACCCACTGGGAAGAACGTCGAGTTCGATGGATAATTTGAGTCAAAACCTCTTCATAGAGTTGAGCAGATTTCTGAAGAATTTCCAGGACAGGTAGCCACTAACTGTGAAAGGGTTCTCTTTTTATATCCTAGCCTCAGGGGACTGTGATAAGACCCAGTTAAAAGGGTATGTTCTTTAATTGGGCTTTTAATTTATGATGTGGTTATGTTACCCAAGAGGATGTGATCTGGCCAGTATTTCATCTGGGGATTTATGCCACAAGGAGAACAGTATATTATAGGGAGATGGTACATTGTCACATAGAGGAAAGAGGGCAAGAGTCTGGAGTCAGAACTGGGTCTCAACTCTGTTTATATGATACACCTGTTGTATGACCTTGAATTGCTCCTACCTTGTTGGGACTTCCCTCGTTTATAGCTTGGGATACTAGCAACCCTTGGAGTTTGCTAGACTCTCCTAACAACCAAATGTAATGGGAGAGGGTACAAGTGGAGAAGGATTTTAAAGTCTGATGACTAATGCAATTTTAAGAAAAGCATCATTTTCTAAAGAACAAGGCTCAGATTAGCAAGGCATGACATAGATATCACCTATGGAAGGAGCGGAAATACTCCTCAGTGAGTCATGGCTGGAATACTGTCTTGTTCTGGAGATACCTGGGCAATATAAACAGGGCTTTATTGGGGCTAAACACCGCATGTCCTTCTTGTTTATGACTGCTGAAGGTCAAGAGCTTTGCCGTGGAAGGTGGTGCTCCAGTCCGTCCATCAGTGAGTTCTGTGTAGCACAGAGTGGACCAAACATTGGAGAGCGCAGAGAGTATTTGCAAAAAGTGAGGATTCCTTTAAATGCCGCACACACTGTGGGTTCTTTGTGAGCTGCAATTGTTTCAAATCCAGCTCCACTCTGTAATGCCAGATTTATTTGATGAACCTGACCAAATCCATAGAGTTAGATTTCACTGCTGAGGGAATTGTAATCTCTGAAAGGAGCCAGGCCTGGTGTTCTGCCCTTCTCTGCTTGTTTGTGCTTCTGCGTTGGCCCATGCTGGTGTCTTTGCCAAAAGTAACCATTCCTCACTTTCTCCTTCTTTTTGTGAACCAGTTCAAAGGCCCCATCAGACCTGGAGCCTTCCCAACAGGACATTCTGTACCTGTTGTGACGGGAAGAGTGTGCTGTGTCATTGCTTGTATACGCACATCTTTTCTCTTTAGACTCTATGTTCCATAAGGGCAGAGGCTTCTGCCTACCTGGCCTTCCTGGTGGCCCCACAACCTATTTTGAATGGTGCTGAGTGAGAGAATAGACTTTATCCACAACCTGATCACATGTCCTGGAAGAGGTACCACAAAGTCTGTTCCTAATACCTTCCTGTCTCAGGCTGCAGCAAGCCAGAGTGATGTTTGCTGCTCTGCTATGTATTGTTTAGGGCCAGACCACTGAAGCAGAGTGAAAGGTACCACAGGCACAAACTTAGTCCCAAAACATTCATTTCTTTTCCAGGGACACTTTTAATTGTTGTAGTCTGGTGCTAAATGGCTTTCATATAACATTTGCTGAGTGTTTCAGATAGGATGTGTTCCATTTAGAATGTATTTCTGGTCTTTCCATTTAACTCTTTTAACAGCTTTCATAAAATGGGAAACTGTACAAACAGGCTTCAGAGAGCCTAGGACTGGGCACAGGTTCTAAGAGGACTGAGAGCTAGGGTGCTAGAGTCCCCTTTTATCTCAGTTTCCTCATTTGTAGCATATGACTGTTGACATCAAACTCACAGTTGATGCTGACCACTTAGGAACAGCAGTGCAGGAAGAAAAAATAACACCTTCCCATGACCCACAAAGTACTCAGCATCAGCACATGCTCGCTTTTACTTCATTTCTTCCAGAAAATGAGCAGCAAGCCTGAGCTTAATTGCACAGGCCTGGATGAGATGCACTCCAAAACCCCGCCTCCTCTTCTTGTTAGCTCTCTGTGACCTTCAGTAAATCATTCTATTCCCTCAGCCACTTGCCTTCCCTGTAAGAGATCATAATGACGGTTACCTTCCCAGATTGGCTCAGAAGACATAAAGTAAGAAAAATGGCATGTGACTTCCCAATGAAAAATATAGTTGCCAATTATAGAAGGCTCCGGCATTATTTTAAATGCCCCAAATCCATTTCTTTCCTGTATTGCATCTACGAAATAGACATTGAGATTGATGAAGGGGTAGAGGGAGAGAGGGAGAGAGAGAGAGCAAGCGAGAGAGAGAACACCTTTTGGTTATACGTGAGAGTCCGTGAGGGAGGGGAGTCCAGTTAGTTGTGGTTCTGGTTCTGATTCAGGAATGGGTTCTAATTCTGACATCGTTTATAGGACTGTTGACCTGTCCCCCATGTTCAGACCTTGGTTCCATTATCTATAACTGGCCTGGAGGATTTCAATGGCCCTACTTACTTGTCTTTCAGTACTCGTACACGTTGACCTATGCTCTCTTTACCGAGGTTTCATCTGTGGTCTTCTATCTCTGGCTCTCCATCTATCCTTTTCATCAAACCTTAGAACTTGTTCAAAACTTTGGACTTCAAAGCCTAATGCCACCACTGACACCAGGAGTCTTTTCTTTCCTTGTGAAGGTAAGGTGTTGAACATGATCTTTGGCCTTTGGGATTTTTTGGATACCTCAGTCCACCTCTCCCCAGGTAAAATGTTTTGCTGCAATGTCTAGCCTGCAGGAAGCACTTTATTTAACCAACTGGAAGGTGCATGTATGAATTCTGATATTATCTGAGAGGGTTAGTGGAATCTGTACGATCTCTAATGCTTTTGGATCCCCTGGACTATGGGTGATCAGCAATGTTGAATGTTTCTGCTGAAACAGGAGCCATTTTTAGGTGACTACACAGTAGTCTCTGACGTTGTAGTAGAGGATGATCGCACCGCCTCCAAAGGTGACTGACACCATGAATCAGTCTCTGTGATCCCCACCCCCCTTAGTGTGGGTTGAGTGGGATCCTGCTCATTGGGTGTATAGAGTTTATGTAAATTTTTTTCCCTCTGTCCTTCCACATGCCAGACCTGGAAGTTCCACCATGAACTGGGCAAGGTCCTGCTAATAAACTTAGCATCTGTTTTGGGTATCAAACATTAGAAGTGAGAAGAATGCACCAGGTCAGGTTCAGGTTATATGAGCCAGGGGAATGGCCTTCTACCCATTTCCTGGAAGAGACTGTCAAGGTTGATTTTAAATAATAGAAGAGAACTAAGCTCTGGTCTGAAAGAATATCTGTGTGGAGAACAGAGGGAAAACAAGTGGGTATAGGAGGTGACATGAAAACAGAAGAAGAAGTGCCAGGAAGTGAGTACAAGGCTGGGCTGAGGTAAAGTCTTGTCCATGGAATCTGGTGAGAGGGCGAGAAGTGACATCACTGAGAGTCTGCACACCAGCCTCTTAAGTGTTCCCTCTCCTCAGAAGGTCATGGGAAGCCATGGAAGAAACAGTATTTGTGCAGAGTGCTCTTGTCTCTCTAGCTACAGAGTGGAGGGTAGAATAGAGGAGCTAGATCAAATGAAGCATGGGATGGCCTGATAAATAACCTGGCAGGTAAGAGTTGCTTGCAGTTGGGCCATGGGAGCCAGGATGCAGAGAACAGGAGGTAGCGAGTCGTGTGATAATGGTGCCGGAGAACTGACCATGCTGCTTCATCTCTCAGACAAATGTCCGAGTGGAGCACTGTCAGGACTGGGGACCAGTGAGGGAAAAGGAAAGAAGGGACACAGTTGTTTTCCTGGCTGTCTTCCAAGACTCACTACAATCACTCTGGGTCTGGTCCTTTCACCCTGTACCTGAACTAATCAATCTGACTTTGAGTTGGCACACTGGCCTCCCTGGTGAGCCTCTGTACACAGCAGCTGGCTTGATGGTTGGAAAATTGAAATTGAATTTGATAAATCAAAGCCCTTCTCTGTTTTTGTAACCTAGAGCTGAAAACCTCTCTTCAAACTTTAACCTATTCCCACCCCAAGATAGACCCTCA